CCACAGAAGACAGCAGCATAGTTTAATATCCTTGTTTGGTTTTTTTTTTGTTTGGTTTTTTTTTTTTTCTGTTTTTAATATCAGCCTCTTTTTTTCTCCTTGACAGACTTAGAAAAGTGGAGTAGGGTGAATAACTTCTTGGAATATCCTCTAAGAGAAGAAAACAGGAGGAAAGAAAAGGGTACTTTTTCTTGAGGAGGTACGGCTGGACAGGTGTGAAAGTTAATACTCTTTAAGCTATTTGTCTATTGGAAGTTGCCTTTCCAATAAAACGGTAAAGCCTGGGCAATTCAGCTGAACAAATGAGGTTGCAGTTGCAAAGCCCCTCCATACAGACATCAGTGTATAGCACAGACCGATTGCTAATGGCAAGAACTCATCAGAAAGGACATGATAGGTAGACTTGCAATTGCAAATTGCTCAACAGGAAAGCCCTGAAGAGGACCAGAAAGGAAAAAACTGTATTTGGGTTATGTTAATTCTGCACCAGATGGAAAAGAGCCAGTCTGCTAAGGCTGACCTCTGCCAGCTCCGTCCTGTCTCACAGTCAGAAGGGACTCAAAGGAACGACAGGTACAACAGGGACGGGGTAACACCTCGGTGCGGGGTGGGGACGATGCCCTAGAGAAGGGGTAACACCTTGGTGCGGGGTAGGGACGATGCCCTAGAGAAATGCCTTTGCCAGCTCTGCTTTGCATCACCTTGATTCACAGTGATTGAAAGACAGACTACAGGTGTTTGCATCAAAGCCTCTCCTTCTGGTGGTGTTCTCTTTAATCCCACCTGGGGAGAACAGTCTGCTGGGTAGGCTTTTCTTTCTTTCACAGAAAAAGCAGCATGGTTTTAGTACATGGACACCTACTGCAGTGAGGACAGACAGCGCTGGTGGTGGCAGCATCACAGAGAGGAACCCCAGCTGGCTTTACAGTAGTTAAGCCTGGTATCTGGTAGCATACTTCTGGGGCAACACAGAGGTCAGAAGAAGCTACAAAACCTGCTTCAGAAGCAGAGGCCACACGAGTTTCCCTTGACAGATTGCTCCAGGGACCCAGACTGGCCATGGCCAACCTCCCCTGACCACCACAGAGGTACAGACCAAAAGACATACTTCTCGGAGTGACCTGAAAAGTTTCATCTCAGTGCAAGCCCATACTGGGCAAAATTTATGCTGATATTGAAAAGTTACTTTGGAAGGGAAGCAGAACTAAGATACTGGACATAAAAATATATCCTTTCGTCTTTGACACCCAAGTTACCCAGGCTTAGTTTGCACCATGAACATAGCATGCCTGACCTTTCTTTTTCACCAAGTGACCTATGCCAAACCTTCACTGCCAGCTTGTTTAAGCAGTGCCACAGCTGTGCCTAGTTGGGAAAGCCAGTGAAAAAAAACCAATGGTGTATCTTAGGGTAACTATTTAAAAAACTCTGTTACTGGTGCACTATGGACAGACAGGTGTGCTTTGTTTTAGGAATCCCTGAAAAAGCTCTTAATTGTTCTGCCCTTTCTCCTTGTGCCAGGTATCTGCCCAGCTTTGAGCATCCCAGTTAGCAGCCAGCTGGAAGCTACCATTAGATCTCAGAGAACATGGAGCAAAAAAGGGCTTGACAAGAAATGCAGTGTGTGTCAAACACAGAATATATTTTCAACTTTTCATGTAAATGCTGTGATTAACAGCTCTGTGGACCAATGGGTCACCTAGCCTCTCTAAATGTGATAGCAACAGGGAGTTAAAATTTTACTTAATAATCCTTCATTCAAAGGCAATTTTTTCAATTAGTTTTCAGACTTGTGCTGCCACTGAAAAAACAAAGAAGGAAAAACACATTTTCTTTGATCTGCAAATGATTTCATCAACCATATTCCTTTTAATACACAACTCCCCACCACTACAATTGCTGAAACAAACACCGTTACATTTGAACTTCAAGAGGATTTACTTGGACCAGAGGCAGCCAGCAACAGAAGAATTTTAATGACTGTGGGAGGATTGTTGGTATTTTAAGAAGTCTTCTAAAACCTTTTGAAGGATTTGAGATAAGTAAAAATAAGTGGAGCAATTTTTTTTCCCTAAGTACTTTGCACCATGTTTTCACATAGCAGAAGTGAGTTCTACAACTGCACAATGAAGCTGGAAAATCTGAACAGAGAAGCAAAAGTTAAAAAAAATCTGAGACGAAACCAAGTGGCATGTGAACCACTCTGAAAAAGAGAGCAAATGAATCCTTCTATTCCAAGCTCTTGTTTTTATTCTCTTTGCTCACAGCAGCTTTAATTTCATCAGCTTGCAAAAAAACACTCAATCCACAGATCAGATTTGTGATTTTGTCAACAAAACAAAGCACTAATTAAATTTTCTTAAGAATATAGGGAGATTACGTCAACAAAACAAAGCACTAATTAAATTTTTAAACAGCAGCCACATGCTCAGTGAGTTCCTTTAGTGGAATCGTACAAGCAACGTTTGCATCCTGTTGCCTTTGATCTAAAGCATTGCACTTCACCTTTCAGAAGAAAAAGCCACCTGCTGCCAGAAGTGCTCCAGGATTAATCTACCCCACGACTGAAATTCAACTGCTGTTAAGAGTTTGAAAGGTCCGGCTTCCTGAATTGTTGAGTGCCTCCTTGGAGAAGGGCTGATCGATGTACCTGGGCAGCAACCGCCACCTGTCGCAATTACAATGAGAAAAGAAAAGCCTCCTAGGGCATCCGTCTTCACAAGGGGCCTCTGGACCCACACGCGTGTCATGAATGATCGCACCCTCGTTTAAAGTTATTCACCTGCAGCTTCTCCAAATACACCACACTTTCAGCACGGTAAACTGGGGTGAATGATTTGGTGCTGCTTCTTAACATCATCCTCCCACCCTATCCAGGAGGGATTCAGTAAAGAGCATGCAAACAGCAGTAAAAAGGACACTTGGAAAGGGCAACCCCCCCCAAAAAAATGAAGTGTCTGTGATGTCCTTCTTTTGTGGGGAAGTTGGGGATATGAAAAAGTGCTCTCCCTGGATCCAGGGAAGAAAGCAACTCCAAGCACTCTTGAGAAAAGGAAATTGTTTTTCAGTCAGATGTTCCCTGTTTTTGGAGGCACTCTTACCCTCTCCTTTCTTCTGCTTACCTGCACTAGCTCAAACATCACTCAGGCACTAAGAAAAATTTATGAGTGGCTTAGCAAGCAGATGCTTTTAAATGAAAATTTCATACAGCCTGTTCTTCTCTTTCTCAGTACAGTTATATGGATAAAAAACAAATCAACCTTTACATTCACTTGCTCTCAAACACAGTCAGAAAAAAGAGCTGTTTTGTCCAAGGCAAGTGCGACATTCAATACCTTGGTCAACTGGCAGATAATGCGTTTATCCCCTCTGCCCACTCCATCTTCCACAGTGTCCACACAAATTCGGCTTGACAGTACAGGTGAATTTCAGTTTTACTGAAAGCAGTGGCAAAACTCACTTTATTCAGTGGAGACACATCTTACTCACTTGCTGCTCCTCCCTCACTCAGCAAGGAACTGCCTTTTCCAAGCAATTTTATGCATAAAATCCAAGCATCTCTTCCAAGCAAGAGGTGCTAAAAACTCTGCTTTTTGCTGGGCTGACCCTCTCCCCTCCATTTCTTCCCTGCCCAAATGGGAGAGTATTGTCCCTTAGTTACATTCCAGTATGTTACATTGACAGATACACTTCTGATTTTTTGGCATTGGTTTTTTTTGTTTGTTTGTTTTGTTATAGAGGCAAATTACAATGAGGAAAATGGCCCCAGGAATTTACTGTTGATATATTTTACATTGTTAGGAGAACACACAGTTTCGCAGAGAAAGGTCCCAAGTTTTTTATCAGCAAGATCCCACCTTTGCTCACATTTACCCCTGTCAAGGAGTTTTGATTAATGTCACTGATTCTCGGTAACTGAGATTCACATGAGTGGCATTTCTCTTCGAAACAGCCATATATGAAAAAATCCATCTGTCATACTTAGCTATTCATAACAATGTGCATGTGCATGTGTGGCTATTATATGTAGCACGGTCCATCCAACATACTACATATGTTGTCTTAACTTCACAAAATAAAATTGTACCTTGGCTTTTAGTAGCCCGATGCCTTTGAAATGAAGGGTACATCATTTAAAAGATACCCTACAAATACTTCTCAGTGCAAAAATGCAGAGGGTGTTTTGTTTTCAATCACAAGAAAGGTTCCATAAAAGGTTCCGTACACTTTTTTTTTCATGTCAAAAATCCCTTTGCTTTCTGCCATGAACAAGAAAAGCATTCCAATGCCATAAATACATTTTTTTTTTTTAAATCTACCAACCTGACTGTAGCCCTTTAAGAGCCTTAGGGATGTGTCCTACTTTAAGAACTTGTCCATGAAAAACTTGGGACCCCTCACATGTTACACATTTCGTACCGCACTTCAAAGAAGAACGTTAAATACCTTGTGACTAGGGTACTGTTTATTTCATAATCTAAACAAACACTGGAATACAGTCTACGCTCTTCTACTTTCCTGCAGACTTTACAATGAGCTTTTTTTTTTTTTTTCATAATTAAAACAATCTGCATACACACAGAACATGCATGCTCTCTGACACCAGTAATGAAGGTAAGAACAGTCAGTTTCCATCATCTTCCTGTTGCCTGTATTAGAAAAAATTACTTTTTTTTTTACTGTAGTTATGGCAGTGTGGCTAAGGATACGAAATCTAGAGCACAATTTTACTCCCTGCACAGAAAATGTTCATCACAAGCATGCTGATGGTGATAAATATTACATGTCTATTAAATGATAGGCATACTTTTATCCCCTTTACTCCCTTTTTAAAAAGACTAAGTGGCTACATGTAAATGCAGTGAAGCAGGTATAAGCTTAATTAATCAGAGTTGATTCAGACTGGCACCAAGATGCAGCAAAGTCCGACAAAGTCTCAGCAAGGCTTTCCATGGGCTACCGATGACCTCCGTCACAAGGCATCTGCCTTCTACTTTTTGAAAGTAGAAATCAAAGGCCTTGCACACGGCCAGTCCTGCAGATGGGGCGGACTGCGCCGGTGTGTTGGGCTCCCTGGAAAAGAAGCACTTGTAGTCCATTAGTGTTTGAGAAAACCTTGTGAGTGGGTTACTTTCCCCAGGGCCGTGCACCCACCCCGCTCTGCGGTGTAGCCTGCTGCTCTTTGTTGGCCACGCGGCTGGCTGCAGTTTTACACCACTGAGTGGTCGTTGCTGTGGACGCCAGCCAAGATGGTGTGGTTAAGCGAGGACGCTGACCGGTCCGAGCCTTCGGTGGGGCCATTGGCATTCTCGCTGCGCTGGCAGCAGAGGATCTGCTTGAAGGTCGCGCTCATCTCCTTGTCCCGGTAGGAGTAGATGATGGGGTTCATGGCAGAGTTGAACTCCGCCAGGAGCAGGAAAAATTTTTCATAGGCCAAGACGTTGCACTGGGGACAGCAAACATCGAGGAGCAGCAAGACTAATCCTGGGGTCCAGCAGATTATGAAAGCACCTAGGAAGAGAAAGAGCAGACAAAACACAACAAAACCCACAAATATATTAATGCACTGTTACTCGTCAAGACACTATGAGAACCATCCAACTGAAAGCGGCAATGGTTAATTTTCTCTTTCAAGAGTATCGTTCCCACACTATTTCTTCACTGACCTGATGAGAAGGCCGCTTTTCAAAGATCTGTAAATGGTTATGGGCAGCACATCAAAAGAGCAAGGCATTCCCCCCCCACTCACCATCTGAAACGTTCTCTGCTTGGCAAATACATTTGCATTTAAAGTTGATAATGAGGAACATTTCTTCCTTTCAGCTAGAGACCTCTGACTAATCAATCTCTTGATCAGGAGAAACAATGCTGCAATTTACTTCTCAAACTAATAACAACAAAGAAAACCTTTCTGTGAGTGCTGTGACTGAAGCATCAGTAATAGAAAAAGAGTGGTGCAGGCAGCAATTCTCAAGAAAAAGAAAGCCTGGGTCTTGTTAATCCATTTCAGCCCCATTATGTAATGGAAAGTCCTAAACACACATCCTTCTTGCACTGAAATGTCGTCCTTCAACAGATCTACTTCTTTTCTTAGGGCTCTATTCAACAGAAATTCAGAGGCTTCTCAGGCTTCAATAGTGTAAATGCCAAAGAGCCTTACCCTGATTAAAATGCTTCCCCCTCCCTTCTCTGCTTTGCAAAGCTCTGAGGGGGATAAAGCCCAGAACAAAATTTGGAGTTCAATGCAGAAATGAAATCAAATGCGTTGCACTTTATTGGGAGTAACTTGCTAACTCCTTGCAAGGTTAAAGAGGCTTTAAATATAAGCACTGCTCGGGAAGCCCTTACACACCAATCATGTCAGAACGAAGATGGTGCTCCTGAGATTTTCCAGGCTGACATGCTTGGCTGAGGTGGAAACCAAGGTCTTATCATCAGCGGGCAGGCTTAGCGCAGGCAGCAGCAATAAGGGCTTCCCAGCACTACCCAGTGAGTGCTGTTTTCAAACAGGTTCTCCTGTCACTGGGGTATTTATTTGTTAACATACTGCCTCCATTTTTTTCTGCAGTGATGCTCTCTGCAGGTCTAGCAGCTGACTACAATCAGTCTTGGCAGCATGCAGCCTTTTTGCCGTGCCTGCCAAGAACGTGCCACCTATTTCCAGCTTGGGCAGTGGCAGCCATAAGCTGTGCAGACACCTTTCCGTTTGGATACCAAACCCACCTAGGTCAAACAGAAGAACATTTTCTGAAGGGCTTTGCAAACATGCAGGGTGTGCCAGGCTACAGATATTGGTTGCCAACCAGGCAACCACACACAGACTTTCTACATACAAAAAAGCATCCCTAAACTGAGCTTGCTTCCAACTGATGGTGCCACAGTGCCACTCAACGCCTATCACTTTGCTGACCAACAAAGCTCGCAAAGGGAAAGAAGGTGGGAGGCGAACTGCCAGCTGCCAGTACAAAGCACCAATGTCTTTGGCCAAATGACTTTGTTAGGGGCTGGCAGCAATTTTACAGAATAGGGATGAAACTCTCCCACGCTGAGATGGCATCAAACACATTAATCCACTTCATAGCTTTTGTTTGCAGCTCTTTTGGATTCCAGCAGTCCTAGAAAAGAGTACTTGAAACCCTTGCAAAGGACCACGGTCTTTTGTCCCTTCCTTGTACCTGTTCCCAGAAGAGTAGAAAACTGCATCTCTTTATTTGCAGGATTGTCCGGGTTGATACAGAGGCTGCCCTCTGCACGGAGCAGCTCTGCTGAGCTGGTTTCTGCAGAAACCAAGACAATCTTTCAAATTCAACCACTCGCTGCTGAAACTGTGTCTGTTGTGTTCAACCTCCTAGCTAGTGAGGCAGCGGTGGACTTTGTTCCAGCTTGAGCATGTATTTTCTTCATTACAGGCTGCCTTGGGAGAACAACATCAGAGACGGGAACACTGCAAGTCATGGGGTCTACAGTCAAGGACAAAAGATGATGACAGCATCCTCACCAGGCCTGTAGCAGAAAAGTCCAATGTGGGAACAATGGAGCTGACAGGAAAGCTCTCCTAGTGTTGTTCAAAGTTGCAAATGAAAGCTTCCAATTTTCCAACAATTTTTTTTTTGGTTGGTTTTTTTTTCAAATCTGGTGTTGAGAAACTAAATATGTCAAACAGAACGTTCTGTTGCTATCATTTTTGGGTATGTTAAAGGCAGCAACAACAAGAAGCAATACGGCGAGGCAGGTAGGCATTTGCCCCTAAGAAAGCCCCAAAGTCTTTCACAAAATTCCACATGCAGCCTACTGCACTGAACATTGGTCTCCGGTGGAGTTTCTGAGTCTCTCTGGGCTCCTCAGTATCTCAGATAGGTCCAACAACCTACATGCTGAGGCTTGATGTCATTGCACTCAAGAAAAAGTGGACTGCGGTTGAGCAAGCAACTAAATGCTCTGTGCAGCTCATGCTACACTGAAAAAAAGATAAAAACAAAGGGTCGCCTTCCCACCCAGCTCTGGAAGCGAATGGAAGTCATTATTCTGCAAGTTGCCACCCTGCTGTTCATGCCAGGCCTGGAGCTGGGTCAATGATGTGCTGGCAGCCAAGGTGTCAAGAGGAGAAGAAACCCACGCTGCCCAGCTCCAGACCCACTTGGGTAACATGGGCTTTCTGCTGCCCTGGCCCCCAGCTGCAGACCAGGCTGACTTTCCAACCTGTTGCCTCCATGCGGCAGCAGTGGCAGCAGAAGAGCACACAGCATCCAGGACTGCACCTTTGTGCAAACAGGGCTATCTTCAAGCTTCTGAACAGACGGCTTATTTGTTATTGGGAAGTAAAAGCCATTGAAGCCAGCCCCATTCAGTCTAGCGGGTTTTGTATTACTTTAGCCCCTGGGATTTTCCTAGCAAAACTTCCCACCATGCTAATGGCTCCTGTGGTTTATTAAGTTAAGTGCTTGCAAATGGTGACACAAACAATGCCTCAGGTTTTCTCACTTGTTATTTAACTGTCAGTACCCTGGAAAATACTGGAAAGCATCACTCAGGGTAAGGGCATGTTTGAGTTAGGTACGATGCAAGGAACATAAAAATGTCAGGCTCCTATTACTTCAGATTTAGGAAACATCATCTGTTAAACATGGAATTCTTTCCCTGGAAGGAGAAAAAGGCTTGAATTTATTTTTTCTACTTCTTACTTGGAATATTTGTCAAAGTAAAGTGATATTAAGCTAAAAGTGAGGTTAAATTCTTTCCCTTCCAGAAATCTGTCGTGCATTGATTTCACCAAGAATGAAGATCTAAAAATATCACATCTAATAAAACAATGAGATCCAAAAGCTTCCTGCTGCAACGTACTGAAAAGCCTTAAGCATACACCAAAATCTTGATTTATTTTTCTGCTCAGGAACAGAACTGAGAGCAGCCCAAAGTACAGTGGGAGTAATTTCCAGGTGCATCTTAACATTTTACAAACGCAGTCAAACATGCATCACAACGACATACAAAGCAGATCTATTGCATTCAGTGAATTGTCATGTCATGGCACTAGGAGATCCCAACATGGACGAATAAAATCGCCAATGGTGTGTCCTTGGGTGGCTGAAGAGCACCGTTGCCTGGACAGATAGCACCTTAGGGTGACACCTCCAACCCTGGCAGTCCTTAGAGGCGCTGGCACCACACGAAGCTGACCAAACCATTCAACTGCAGCAGGAGGAACATCCCGGTGGTGCATGGCCAAGGTCTGCCCGGCGGGTCTGGCAAGAGAAGGCCTGGTGAGGAAGAAATGCCCATCAGGCTGAAGGGCAAATGGCTAGCCATGAGACAGGAAAGCTTGAGGGAATTGGAGAAATGGCACTGCATCTTTTAAAAAGCCTTAAGGAGACAAGAGGGGAAGGGGCCTATAGACCCGGAAGCACATTTTACAGCAGGAAATCTGAGTTAAAACAAAGCAGTCATGACGCTAATCTCATTTTCTGTTGCTGTGTGATACCTCTCACCCAGGGCTGAAACTCTAACTCCTCGTGCATAGTCTGTCTTGCTGCGCTGTGGCAGAAGTCCACTGGGGGCTTTCCAATGACCACAATATGACTACATCACATCTGTCTTGAACCCTCGTCTGCTGCACCAGTGCGGATTGTATTTCCACGGCAGTTGCATGCTTGGAAACTGGCATGGCCTCACAGCAAGATTTGATTGCAAGAGAGTAAAAACTGTTGTGGGCAGTAGGCACATGAAACCAAGCATGATGAATCACACAAAAATGAGTGACTAGCGAAACAAAAGAGAAAACAACTCCAAAAACCAGCAGCAGAAAAGAAACAAGCTACATGAGAATAAACACTGATGAACTAGTCACTCATTACTAGGTCCTTGGTCCTCTCAGGAATGTTTGCAAAATGAACACAACAAACTGCAGACAGTACAGAAAGATAAATTAGGAAAAAGGATACTATAGAAACAGCCTCTTAAAACACAGAAATATTAATTTAAGGCTGTACTTGAATGATGGATCACCTCTGTGCTACTGCAGTCAAGCATGCCTGCTGGTTCAGTTCACTAAGCACTGACCATTCGGGATGACTTTTTTTCCTACCAGTGGAGACTGTCTTAACTTGATGCCTGTATTTACAAAAACTTGGTAAGAACCAAAGCAAGTAAGAGCTCCCCTTCTGAGAAGCAGACATACCTGGAGGATCTGACGTAGTTAATGGAAAAGAGGTTGAAGAGGGGGGAAAAACATTGTCAGTTTGTCTTGCAGAGCTTTCTTCTGTTTTTCAATGAGCTGAAAGGCAGACACTGCACAGATCCAAACCCAGGCTCAGAGAAGCGATTTCCAAGCGACCATCCCTCTACATGCATGGCAAGAGCATTTGGTCCAGTTTTATCCTAGGGCTGCAGATTAAATCGTTTTATTGCTGCTGCTGCAGATGGAAAGCGAGCCTTGTTTTAGCGGGACGCTGATCAAACTGCAGTATATTTTTTGTGTTAGGCTTTGCTCTGGGGAGGATGTAAGAAGTTCACAA